TATAGTGTTTGTGTGTGTGGCAGGCAGGATATTGACCCTGCAAATAACAATTTACTCTTATTTATTTTGTTTACAACTGTTTGAATTTCCTGTCACCATAGAGACAAAATACATAAATAAACAACACACGCACACACGGGTGTCTGCGTCAGATTACACTGAAATTATCGCAGATTCGCCTTCTTAATTTTGTACAAGAAACTTATCAACGTTTTAACGGGACTGCGATGACCCTTGTGATCGGTCCATTTGGAGTGTCTATGAAAGCCGCGTACTGGCGTGTCGACGACTGCCCGAGTCTGTTTCTCATTAAAGTCGACGGAGTCACTTTACACAGTAATTCTAGAAGTTTCACGTGCACGGGGCATGCTTCCCACATGAATGACCGATCGGCGGAATAAACAAATCCACTGCTAATCAAGTAACCGCTTGTGTGAATCATCACCAATACTTTACCAAAGCACACGCAAAATATAGGGTTATCTTGAGTTAATATCCCAATAGTTGTGCAACGTTGGGCCAACGTTGGTCCAGCTGTTCCAACCACATGCCAACGTTGGGCCAACGTTGGTCCAGCTGTTCCAACAACATGCCAACGTTGGGCCAACGTTGGTCCAGCTGTTCCAACCACATGCCAACGTTGGGCCAACGTTGGTCCAGCTGTTCCAACCACATGCCAACGTTGGGCCAACGTTGGTCCAGCTGTTCCAACCACATGCCAACGTTGGGCCAACGTTGCTCCAGCTGTTCCAACCACATGCCAACGTTGGCCCAACGTATGTTTACTGGGACGATATGAAAAAACCCCCCATATATTATATATAATATTTGAAATGTCATAGCAATCTATTGTTGGATAAAGGCTTTCCCAAGCTGCTCCTCATCTCTCATATTCCTGCGATGTAATAAAATATCAAGTTGCAACCCCTTCGTCAATCCAGAATTGGAAACATAATCTTTATATTGACTCGCAAGGATCCGAAGCTGGATGAAGGCTTCCCCAGGCCGTCACCACCTCGCATGATCCTGTGATGTAATAATCCACTCAAGGCCTTCACACGAGCTGATTTCATCGCTTTATTTCCCTCTGTGGATGTCCTCTCGGACGCTATCCATTCCCTAGCTGACACTCCGGCATTATTTTTCATCATTGGCCATCATCCCTTCCAGCGACGTGAGTCGCCCAAGCGTGAACAAAGATTAAAGGATGATTTATAAACGTGGCATTGGGAAAAATGATAGAGGTGGCATCTATTTGAGATTTCAGCCAGCAAAGACATGAAGATTATGAACACCCTCTTCAGTTTAGAAAACCTCACTTACTAAACACTTTCATATCCACCATTTGTAAACCTCACTTTTTTTCCTTTTTAAAAGGCCGGTCGGCTAAAATGACAATATCTTCCATTCCCCTTTGCGACAGTTAAAACATAAGTGCTGTTACATTTAATGAACGTATTATTGTACAAGTAAACAATAATTATATGTTTACTTGTACAAATGAATCTGCTTTACACGATTGTGCATGAAGATTTCATCAACCGCGACGTATATGAAAGGAATGAAAATAATGTACTGTACAGGTATTGTATTTGATGGTGGAAAAAAACATTTATCTGTGGATAACTAAAGGATCCCTATCATCACAACCACGATCCAAAAATAATAATGAATACCATTGCTGAAACGATTGTATTGTCTCTCGTCGAATAAAGCTTTGAGTGTGATCTGTAACATTTTATGTGAGACGTGAACAGGAAGAATGGAAATTTGATTGCAGTGTTTTTAATTACCCCAGGGCTGTGCTTGTTTCATCTGGAAATCCATCAGTGGCAGCATATAACGGAAATTACCATGCAGTCGCAAATCATGGTAACTGTTGCCATCCAATCTTTAGTATTACTTGCTTCGCTGTATTAAACAATCACATCAATCACGCATATTATAATTTCTTGCTGCATTCCTGTGTTTTATACCAGGTATACGTGACAGATTTTAAGCACAATGTGTACAATATTGCTCCATTGTTACGTGATCAACAACAACGACTACTAACGGTCTGGTGGTGCACGCTTGTGACCCAGCACCTTGGTGACGAGGGTTGGTGGCTCACACACAAAAGTTGTGAAACTCCCCTTGCCGTGGGTGTCAAGAGAAAGACCATACCCTGGCCCGCCACGAGATGGCAGTGTAGCAAATATAGACAGCTGTGAAAAAGAGCTTTATAGCTCATCGGATTTCTCCAGTATAAAAACATACATTTTGATTCTGATGTGGCCAAATTTACATCTCGTCCATGTGCATGGTTGGGAGTGTTGCCCCTTCACACGTGTGAGTTTTCTCCGGGTTCTACGGTTTCCTCCAATTACAACCTTTGTGGAATGCAATCCCCGTTTTCACACGCGTGCGTGTGATATCTGTGTGCACTGGTGTTGCGATTGCTATCAGATTCATAGTAGTCCCACGGTGGCTGGGAGATGTTAACTAACGATCCCGACCCTGACGCCGGTTGTATATTTGGGGTTTGCGTGTCTCTCTCTTCCCGTCGTCGCGTGGATTTTGGGATTCTCCGGTTCCCCCCCCCCCCCCACCACATGCTTTTAGATTACAGTATTTATTATTTTGCTGTAACAGGACACATTTCCACATGATAATCCACTTTGTTGAGCTAGAATTTGTGGCCAGTGCAGAGTAAGCTAATGGCTCAGTGGGCCTTTACCCGGTAAGATTAAAAAAGGTGTTTCAAACTAGATTCGAAGCTTTCGTGACTGCAAGAATTACTCTTTGGTTCTTTCGGTAAAGTGACGTAGAAATACATTTAGCGGTCGTTGTTGTTATTATTTTATTTATACGTGAAATAATTAAAGAGTAAGAACAGGTGTGTTTAGTTCGTTCGTTTCTCAGTCCGCTTGTCCTGGTGAGGGTCGTGGCGGCAGCGTGTTGAGTAGTGGCGGTCCAGACTTCCCTTTCCCTGGTCACATACTCTAGCACTACACTATACACTACACTATACATGACTATACACTACACAATACACTACTATATACTACACGATACACTACTATACACTACACTACCATACACACACTATACACTACTATTCACTACTATACACCAGGGACGGGCAGTCAGGGGAGGCAGGGGAGGCAGAGCCTCACCTGTCATACTCCAATGAAAATAGCTGTTACGAAAAGTAAAAAAAATCTAATAAATATGAAGATTTTTCCACTGATCTGTGTTATAAATGTCATTTCTGTACGACTCCAATCATTTTTATAGTCAAAATCGCCAACTTTGCGGAGCTCCGCTACAAATACAGGAAGAGACGTGAGGTGACGCAGCGACGAGCTCAGCCTCCCCTCTGATTGTGCAACCCCTCAGTAACTGGATGGAGCGCGGGCAATAAGCGCGTGCCTGTTACTATCTCAGTATGTCACCAATGTAATGTTTGTAGACCCCTTCATTTCATGTCCTCGCCTTCCATACTCCAGGTAACTTATTTCACGTATGTGTATAAAGATATTTAGGCCCGCTGGTCTCGTCATGAAACTTCAATGAAAAGGCAGCAGGGGAGGCAGCTATCACATCTGCCTCACTGAGGGGGACGTGTCTAACACGCCCCCCTCAGTGAGGACACGCCCCCTCAGTGAGGACACGCCCCTCCGTGAGGCCACGCCCCCCAGTGTGTGAATCTGGCTCTAAAACGAGCCAGTGCCTCCCCAGACATTGACCTCACCGCACGTCTCTGCTCTACACAACACTATCCACTACTATACACTACACTATCCACTACTATACACAACACTATCCACTACTATACACTACACTATCCAGTACTATACACTACACTATCCACTACTATACACTACACTATACACTACACTATCCACTACTATACACTACACTATACACTACTATACGCTACACTATCCACTACTATACACTACACTATCCACTACTATACACTACACTATCCACTACTATACACTACACTATCCACTACTATACACTACACTATCCACTACTATACACTACTACACACTACACTATCCACTACTATACACTACACTATACACTACTATACACTACACTCTCCACTACTATACACTACACTATACACTACTATACGCTACTGAGGAATTCCCAGGCGTTCCTAAGCCAGCCGAGCGACATCGTCCCGCCGGCGTGTCCTGGGCCGGCCACGGGGTCTTTGCCCAGTGGGACGCTGCTGCTGCCCGGTAGAGTTCCAGGGGGAGTCTACCGGGGGGGGGGGCGGGGGAGCATCCTTACCAGGTGCGCGAACCACGATTGGAATACCTTGCATTGCAATCGTGGTTTCGTATTATTTGTTGTTGTAACGTTCTAAACAGGTGGGGCCCCATCCCCTACTGGACAGTGTGTAAAAAAACACAAGAGCTGTAGAGCTCAGTGGATTTTTTAGTCCTCCAGGATATAAAAGATTAATAATGATACTCTCATCATTAGACCTCCTTTGCCAGTACCAAAATGTAATAATAGGGTTTTCCCCTTTTTTCTGGCAACAAAACTGAAACCTTTTTATAAGGATTCATGTCTGCATTAACCACAATACCTGCAGTCAAAATGCAAACAAAAAACCTACTATAATAATATATGCATTGCCCTTTCAAGGACAGAAAAAAAGGGGAAAAACTCTATTAATGGTACTCTCCTTTTGATTTAAAGCTTTCGTGACTGCAGGGATTCATATTCTTGGTTCTTTCGGTAAAGTCGCGTAGAAGAGAAACAATAAAATGATACAAAATAAAAAAGCATTGTTTTATATTTGTATTAATATGGTACTCTCCTTGTGATTCAATCACAATACAGCCCCACAAGACAATGGGGCATGGCGGACTGACGTCATCGGAAATGGTGGGGGGCGCGCGCGCGCTTCCTATTGGCTGTGACGATTCCGGGGGGCGGGGAGGTGGGGGTGGGTTGTGGGGGGAGGGGGGAGCGGCCCTCTCTATAAAAGGGGGAGCGCGAGAGCCGCATAATTGGAACATGGCGGCAGCCTAGTGGACGTGTTTCAGCAGTAGCAAGCATCACCATCCTCGCGTTCGCTCTCTGTGGCTTCTAGCACGCTACGATTCCGCTATCTTGGCAAGGCGTGGCTGTTTTAATTCGCCCCCCCCTCCGCTCCTCATTATTAATACATTTTTTTGGTTTGTATTTTGGCAAAGAGTCTGTTGCTGCTGCGGTGGTCGTCTCCGTGAGGGGAGCCGTCTCGTCGTTGCTGTGTTTGGGCGGGAGTTTTTGGCGCGGCTTAACCAAACCCTCGCCACCGACCACGTTGCTTCGGGATCTGTGAGTAATTGTGATTTTTGTTGTTGTTAATTGATGAGTGTATTCACACACAAGCGATGGCAAACAAACAAACAAAAAACCGCCGCGTGTTTATACTTCACAAGCGTAGTTTAACGTACCGGCCACAGTAACACATTGTCGCGTTCACATTAATTGTTTTTATTGAAACCGGATGTTCTAGTTTCACGTATTAAAAAAAACGCGCGTAATTTTGTGGTTTCAATGAAAACTAGTTGAAGGCGTACGTCGATGTGGTGTTTTTTTATTAATTGTCTTCGAAAGCGCGAAGTCTCTCGCCTCACGGTTGATTCATTTCATTCGTGACTCATTCCCCCCCCATCTCGACCTATGACGGCACTGGCATAATTATAATGAAAGTATCAACGTTAACGTGGCAATTCTGTATAGTAATCCCATTTTTTAGTGATGGCGATGAAGGTTTAATGATTATTGAGGGAACAAACCCATCGGTTCGCTTCCGTTGACGGCGCAAGATCGCGCGCGGCGATTCGATAACTGCGTTCCGCCGGTCCCAGTCTTTAAAAAAAATCCGCACAATTGGGAGAAAAAACGACTAATGGGTTTTTATTTTGGATGTGTGTATATATCTCTAAGCCATATACGTAATGCGCGTGCTTACATGCATAGCCCCGTACGATCCGAATTGTCTCAATATCGAGTGGCGTTATCGCCTTCTCATCGGCATGAGCAAGCTCAAATTGGGGGCGAAGACGACTTTATCTGCTTTAATAATCGAGGACATTTGGAACGGGGGGTGTTAGACGTGGGGGGTGAGTGACCGCGAGCTTATAGTTAAGGGAAGGGGGACACGTGGGTAATGTGGGATATTGGTGAACGGGACATTGGGGGTTTGGACAATCTTTGTTTCAATCCCACGTGGTTCTCAAGGGCGAAAGTTTACGATAGTTCGACACCGCAATGCGGTTTAATAATGGTTTTCCGAAATCCCGCGACACGTGGTGGGGACACGTTCCCTCGTGTCGACGATAGAACTAAGTGTGGCGTGCCCGATCGATTTGGCAACGACGAGTACGTGTGGCTCGTTTTAATCGACGAAAGCCGGTGCCGGGCCCCGTTGCACATGGCACTCAAGAACACGTGGCGTTACGCAAGTGGCGTTTAACCATGTGGCTTCCCAAGTGAGTAGGGAGCCGCTAAGATTTGCTGTCTCGCGTTAAAACACTTAAGTGACGCAGTTGCCCCTAACGCACGGCCACGTGGAATCCGGCGACCCGAGTTCGACTCCTTTACACCTCACCATGGCTGCTGACAAAAGTGACAAATTGCTATATCCGCACTTGAACGCAAGTCGAACAAACCCCTCATGACGTTCTTGGTGTAGTGTTAACGCGTGTCCATTCGTTGCTTTAATAGCATTTAATCACCTTCATTACCGGCCCTAATTACCGCTGTCCTCAAACGCTCAGTGTGAAGTATGTAGGTCAGGATTTTCTTTGGCTTACGGTTGGGGGGGATGGTTAAATGTATTATACTCTGAATTACAGTTACATTTTTTTATAAGCTCCAATTACATGGTCATCCCCATCATTCATCTGTTGGAGAATTTCGGTAGTGTAGGCTAGTCGGTTCTGGTTTTTATTGACGATGTCATAGGAACTTGGAATTTCCATGACCAGCAATGTGAGTAACTTTACGTTATTTAATCCACGTGTTCCCTTCCCGTCTCCGAAGTATATTTCCAAGTCTGAAAATATCCGTTTTACGCACTTTGAGTGCAATATTTGCATGTTACAGTGCACCGAGAACGCTCGTACAAGCCCTCATTGTGTTGCGCGAGTCTCCTAGCCACTCCGTGGTTATGTGAATACAATCCTACTCGGTTACAGATGGTCACGTTCATTTAATTATATCCCTTAGAGACGATACAGTACATCTACAGTCCTTTGTCAATCTAATGCTAGATGAGCCCCATCCAACTCCTTGCGGGTTATTTGGTTAGTGTGTGTGTAAGGGGGCCTTTAAGACAGTGATTGTCCCGAAACGACCTGTCGGCGGACCTTCGACACTTACCGTGGCCTCAAAGTGCACCTGGCCTGGCACAGACGTCACCTTTACTTCGTGACGAATGGCGGCTATTGGTATTGAAAGACATTGTTACAGTACAGCGTCGGAAATTTTTTATTTTTTTTAAAACGTGCTCGCTCCACTGCTTGACGAATTGGCCCTCCCCCAAGTGGAATGCCACCGATCCGCCGCCCCCCAGCACGTGGTCATGCGGCTTAATTTCATCGCCTCCATCTCTCTCGCTGGACGCCCTCTCTCGGCCGCGCCGTCAGCGCCAGATTGGTAGCCACTACGCTCGCCCAGAGAGCATGCTTCTTGACCGTGGGCATTCATCAAATTTGGCGTAAGGGGTGCGCGAGCACACGCGGCGGGTTTTTAAAGAGCTTGCCATGTAGCGTTGTGCTGTTATATATATTTTTTTATTTTAAATACGGAGGTCCCAATGTCGGCCTCGGGGCAAAGGGGGGTGTGTTGCTTGGTGCATTGCAGGCACGTGTTAGGGCACATGGCGGACGTGCGGTAAACCTACCACGCGCGCAGTCGCCCTGTCGCACTATGTATAGGACTGCTGGCTGCATTGCAGTCTGCGCGCAGTGCTGCGTGGTTACATCGCGGCCATTATTGATCTGTCCATTTGTGCTGCGGCCGTGTGCACGCGACTCGTTTTTTTTACTCGTTTTTATTTAGGTTGGGGACGACTTTGGAGTGGTTAGCGGCCCTGCGCTATAGACCTGGCGTCTGAATTAAATTAACTGCCTACCAATGAAGTGGCGACTCATGGTTGAACAGGACCCGTGTGCCCCCCTCCCCAGCCTCTCACTGTCCAACCCCGTGTGCTGTGACGTCGGTGCAAAGAACCCCCAATGAGGCCTCATTCATCCATCGGTGGATTGAACAAACAAATGGGGCGTGGATTAAATATGTACTTTGTGTACATCTACAACGAATGTTCACCGCTTTTTTTAAGGCCATTTGTCAAGGGAATTGTGCACGTGTTAGCACGCATGTGCGCCGAAATATTTTTTTGACATTCTGTCATCTGGTTTAGACCGACTGAGCGAAGGTGGGGGTGGTGGCGGGGTTGGTGGGAGGAGTTCTGATCTCCAAATGTCGCAAGCCGCTGTGAATTGTAACCCCACAGTCATGGCCCGCAGGGGTGAACTAGGTTCACGGCGTCCCCCACAACCACTTCAGTTATTTACAACAAAATTCAATAATATTTTATTGCCTTGCTTGGCTTTAAACACGTCGCTCCCTTTCACAAGCAGTCGAAATAAGCGGGCACGAGATGCGGTTTTGGAGAAAGATAAAACAACGTCCATGTATCCTTAAATTGCTGAGCAGAAAGCAGACAACCCATTTGGTCAGTTCGTCTGCCGACAAGGAATGCTGCCAACTGCGTTGAGCTGCCCGATCTTGTCGATTTTTTCCCCCACCACCCCCCCCCGGGGTCTGTCCCAACCTCGCCGGGACCTGTGCAGCCGGCAGACGACTTCACAGCTGCTTGGCTGAGCACTTCTTGGAGGCCGTGTGGGGGGGTGGGGAAATAGATGAACTGGGGGATAGTGTGACACGCGGTACAGTGGAGAAAGTGCTAGCTGGTTGGGGTTAAAGGGAGTGACGTCCTTGATAAAAAAAGAAGCGATTGTCGGAAGTCCGTGGCTTTCGTGAGCCCACCCTCACTTTCTTTTAACGACCAGAATGGCCGGATACAGTGGATATGTGACCTGTTTTTCTAAGCGGACGAGGCATTTGCTTGACACGGAAGGCTCGAGAAAGGTCGTGTTGGCTGAAACACAAATAACTGCCACTCAAGGAAACTGGCACTCGTACAAACAAGCCGTGTGCTCTGATCTTAGAGATAAACACCCTGGGTGTCTTGGGCTGTTTGGCATGACTGAAGATTAGATAATGATCAGATATCCGAATAATGCACGCATCATTAAATGGCACGTGCGATGTTGCATCCCTCTTAATCATTATTAAACATTGATGAAGTGAAGGGACTTTGTTTCTATGATGGCGTGATAGACCATCGCTTGAAATTGTTTCTCATTAGTAGGGGCTTCAAACTTGCATAGCCTGATGCGCACAGCCTAGGTGCATAAAAGCAAGTTTAGACGGATCAATTTCTGTTGTCTCTTTAAGAGGATACAAACAAACACATTTGTCATCATAGACCAACAGGTTCTGTAATTCTTGTGGTGTGGTGCAACGGCTCGCTTGTGTTAACCGTACGTGGTGCTTGCCTCCCCCTTCTCTCTGTCCGTGTCATTCCCCAGCATGATCCTTGCAGCCGCCATCTCGCCCACGCTGCAACAATGGAGCTTGCGATGCTCATGATCACCAACATGCACTTTTCCTTGTGTGAGCTGATATCCAGAAGATAGCAATTGTTTCACCTGGTTCCTAGTTCCCAGGTTATACCATCTCAGCATAAATATCAGTCTTAAGTTTACAAGCCATATCATTTGTTTGGCATAAATTAATTTGCATTATAATATTTATATAAAAACGCATAGCACAAGCATTTTAATTGTAAAAAGGAAATAAAATATTTTTGTACTTAGGTTTGTTAACAGCTTAGGCTATAGGCTATTATTCAGTGGCCAAAGTTTGGAGTAACGTTAAGGGGTTTGGAGGTCATATGTTTAATGTTATTTAATTTAATATATAAATTGCAACTTGCGTAACTTGGGATAATTTGCAAAACGCGTAACCTATAATCAGCACTAATTGGTCGCATAAATAATTTTTCCTTCCCGAAGCCAAAGTAATTTGAAGCAGTGAGCCGCATTTATTTTTAGACAAAGGGTTTGTTTTAAAACGCTGCGTTGAGATTCAGTCGCACGTCACTGCTGGGTGAGGGGGAGGCACTCGGAGGGGTTAAAAGGGGGGAAAGAAAGAGTTCAGTCCAGGGTATTGTAAACATCAAATTGCACGGGGGGTAATTTTATCATACTCCCCAAGTCACGACACCTGAAATAAATTGGCCCGATGGAGACTTTTACGACGGCAGTCACGGCGGCGGTCTCGATTGTTGCGGAGGCGAGCACGAGCCTCGAGGAGTACAAATGGATGCTCATTGTGGGCTTCATCATCGCCTTCGTCCTCGCCTTCTCGGTGGGGGCCAACGACGTGGCGAACTCGTTCGGCACGGCTGTGGGCTCGGGCGTGCTCACGCTGCGTCAGGCGTGCATCCTGGCGTCCGTGTTCGAGACGGTGGGCTCGGTGCTGCTCGGCGCCAAGGTGGGGCAGACCATCCGCAACGGCATCGTCGACGTGAACCTTTACAACGGTTCCGAGTCCACGCTGATGGCGGGCCAGGTCAGCGCCATGGTTGGTGAGTGGACAAGCAGTGTTTTTTTTTTTACATCGATTTTAGTTTGGATGTTACCGTTGTCACCTGTCAGAGCACAATAATCCAGGCCCGAGCCTCTGTGTGGCTTCCAAGGTGTGCCGAGATGGCGCGCATTTCATGTCAGACATTGTTTTGGGGTGGCAGAGGGGCCGTGCAGCAAAATAGATTTGTTGTACTGTTATTCTATGCCCCCTCTGCCTTTGCCATACCTCACTGTCCCAGTGTAGTGATGTATGGTCAAATGACTGTGGATCCTTGCGGTGTGGGGTGGGACACTCATCAAGCAGTGTCTTGACAAAGAGCTGTACATGTTTGTCGTTTTGATCTACAAATGTATCTTACGTTTTCCCTCTCTGTTTATGGTTATGCTTCATTAATTGGCATTGCATTTTGCTTGTGCTGTGTTTGTGCGTTTACGTTATGTATAATATATTGACGTTATTCTTTGAGTTGTGAATTACAAAGAACGTGGTGCTTCTGCCCCAGTTGACGAATGCGCTTTTGGTTTTCCCGGTAGGTTCGGCCGCCTGGCAGCTGATCGCATCCTTTCTGAAGCTGCCCATCTCTGGCACGCACTGCATTGTGGGTGCCACCATTGGATTCACGATGGTGTCCATGGGTGCGGGGAGCGTGCAGTGGACGAAACTTATCAGCATCGGTACGTTGCCTTTTTAATCCTGTTGTTCCCCTTAAATTACACGTGTCGGCTGCACTCGCTGGTACGCTAACGGCAAGTACAACCAAGTCCGATTCTAATAATAGGCTATCATTGTTGGTCACGTTGTACGTCACCCGTGGAAACTATTTGCCAGGATTCAGCACGTTGCGCGAGCGTGTTTGGTGCCAGTTCCGGTGTGTGAAAGCGGTCCTTTGAATCGGAGTTTATTTAATGGGTGTTGCTTTGTCTTGTTCCAGTGGCCTCATGGTTTGTATCCCCTCTGCTTTCTGGCATCATGTCGGCCATCTTCTTCTTCATGGTGCGGTTCTTCATTCTCAACAAGGTGAGTGAAGAGAAACCGAGGGGGGGGATAGGTGTGCCACAGTTTACTAGCGTGAGATTTTCAAACTCTCATTTGTTGAGTGAGATTTTTAATTCCGGTTTTTCTGTCCTTGCCCAGGATGACCCGGTTCCCAATGGTTTGCGTGCTTTGCCCTTGTTTTACGGAGTGGTCATGTGGGTCAACTGCTTTTCCATCATGCTGACTGGCCTGCCTCGTGAGTACCGGTTTTTTTAATTATTCCCCCCCCGCCCCGCCAAGTTGAAATGTTTAAATGTCTTAATTACATGCAGCTTAATGTTGTGTGGCACCTTGGTAGAATACCTCTATACACAGTACGCTTTGTTTCAAATTAAGCCTTGACCAAGTGGGTTTTATGCCGTTGATGAATAACCTTCAAGCAATGAAACGGTTTCTTCTTTCAATTCCTGGAAGAGAATTGCACATTTGAAACTTTCTTTTTTTAAGTTCTACAGTGTACGAGTAATACCATGCGCACAGCTGTTTCTTTTCCAAGTTGTGAATGCTTTCTGGACTAGTGCAGTGTTTGTAGATAAATTCATTTGTAAATTATTATTGATGAATCAGAGTCGGTAGATTACCGCACCTGGTGTAAGCTAGTGTAGGTAGCACTCTGATTTTTACTGTTACCTAAAATATACTGCTTATTTTGTACGTGTTCTTTTCATGTATATGGCTACATTTGATTAAGATGGCGCTGTTGTATTTGATATAGAATTTTAAAAACCTAACGTGCCTCCCTTAATTTTTTTGCGATCTAATTTTTTTTTAGCCTCTACAATTTACTACGAAGCGAATTTATTTTTATCTATACCATTTTTTGTTTTGTTTCACATTGTGCACAGGAAAAACAATGATGCTGCCGCGTAGCTCACCGCGCGGGCTAGTTCCGCTTGGCTTAGGAGTGCTTGTGAGAGCGCCTGCAGGCCACTGAGGTCCGCGTGTGCCCTTCCTTGTTGCCGCTGTAGTTCTGGGCTTCGAGCTGCCTATCTGGGCGCTGGTTCTGGTCTCGCTGACCTTCGCCGTTGCCTGTGGCCTCGTCGTCTGGTTCATTGTCTGCCCCCGCATGCGGCGGAAGATCGAGAGTAAGTGCTCGCTCGTGTTAAGCGCCACAGACGTGGTATCTTCATAGTTGGTTCGTTGTTACCGTTGCGTCCATACTGTCGACAATGAGTTTGCGCCCATTGCCCTCTGAACTTACCTGCAAAGGTACATCTGAAACGGGTTCTTGGATGTCCAAAGCCCATGCAATGTCATTTGAACCACAGTATAGAAATCCTTTGCTGCTGTTTCACACACCATACGAGAGATCACCCCACCCCCCAAGGAGTGTCAAATGAGCATCTGCTAAAGAGGTACACGGAACTTAATTATTTCACCTTAATGATACACTTGATTTACCCAGAAGTTTTACCAAGTTGCAAGATCTTCATCAGAGTCCTGCCTCTTTTGGTGTTTGTCTAAATACCAGTAATCTGTTGATTTAAAACTTTGGTGACTGCAGGGATTCATATTCTTGGTTCTTTCGGTAAAGTCGCGTAGAAGGGAAACAATAAAATAATAAAAATATAAAACAATTAAATTCTCACGACGTTTCGACTGCAACACAAGTAACCATCAGGTGTGAAAACCACAGCAAGAAAATTTGATAAGTGGCGTTTTTTCTTGCTGTGGTTTTCACACCTGATGATGATTGCTTGTGTTGCAGTCGAAACGTTGTGATAATTTTATTGTTTTATATTTTTATTATTTTATTGTTTCCCTCCTACGTGACTTTACCGAAAGAACCAAGAATACCAGTGAATCTGTTAGGTATGTGGTAGCAGATCCAACGAAACCCACGGTATGCAAGGGGGCAACGCTCAAAGCTCCGATATACAGATTCAAGACTCTATTGCCGACCTGCCATCTCTTGGCCACCTCGCAACCCAATCCTTTTACAACAGCTGATCTTTCCTTAGGCAGTCCCAAGTACTAACCAGGCGTAATGCTGCTTTACCTTCAGATCTGGCACATTCGGAGTGATTTGGCCATAGTCCACTGGTTCAGATCTTTCAAGTGATGATGACGAGCATTACTCCATCTGTTTGACGTGTACTCGTAAAAAAATATTTAAAATGCACGGTGCCTTTTTGAAGTTACAAAAAAATGACACCCTAAACGTGTGAATCTCGCGATTTGCCGTATTTGGTGCACAGCCTTATTTCGTGCCACGTTACTTAATGCTTGCCAGTCGTTCATTAAGCGAGGATAAGGCTGCAGTGATGTGCCCAGTTTGCGAAGTAATCTTAATCGCCTTTATTTTAGTTACCTAATAACATCGACACTGGGGCCTTCTCTTTCGGCGAACCCATTCCCCCTCCCGTCTGAGTTATTTTAGGACCCCTGTCATGCCCTTGACTTGTGACCAGCAGTGGATGGATGGTGGAAGGACTGCTCTGAAAAGTCTTCACTTTTGCAGATTCCTTTCTATTTATACAACTGTCGGTTAGAAAATTGACATTCATACCTGTCATGTGCTGTTCAGTAGTCCAGTTATTTTTATGGGGGAAAAAAATATATTTTTTCCCACCCCTATTCTATTTTGACCTACTTTGCATGCCAGCTAAGTGATATGTGTAGGTCTTTGTTCCCTGGTGCATTGGGACTTGTTGGTTTTGAATAAAAGAGTTGGTTGTATAAGAGTCTTGCATAATCCTGCACATTTGCCAGCATTCTGAAAGCTAGCTGTATGGAGAAATGTCCAGTACAAATTTTGGAAAGTTAATGCATCGCGTGCACGTGCATGGCATATTGCTTTTGACTCTTCCATCATTGTTATCATTAGCCATGATCAGTCCACTGTTCGATGAAGACCTCTCCAAACCACCATCTCTGGCAATTCCATGATCAATGGGGTGGGGGCTTTTTACTATACTTCACAACGCTGTTTTGTGCATATTAGAAGGCGCACATTTTGTTATGCCTTTTTCGCTGAAGGCCCGATTTGTTATCGGTGCCCCCCCCCCATCGTAGCTGCTTGAGTTGCTCAAGCATATTATGCAATCAAGGCAGTGCCCCATGGAAGAACTCAACAGGGCACTGCTTTTGAGTGTTTTAGTTGAATTACATCTTGAGATTTTAATTGAATTGTGTAACTACATTTTCTTATTATTTCAAAAGAACCTTTTTTTAAATAGAGACTTTTACGTTTGCAGAGCACTTGAAGACGAGCTGTGGGCCAGCGCCGGGTACGGACGAGGGCGTGGAGCTGGGCTTGTTTTCCAACGGTAATAACGTCTCCGTGGAGGTGAAGCCGAAGTCTGCGGGCGAACCTGGTGCCAAGACTGCCTTCCGCTTGGGCGACGACGACTCGGAGGATGGCGAGCTGGACGTGGCACCGGCGGAGGCGAACGGGATCGCGGGCAAGACGCTGGGGTTTGCGGAAGACGAGCTGTCTGGGAATAAGCCGCGCAACGGATTTGCCCACCGCGATCGGAGCATGAGCAACAGCTGCGCCAACGGTGGGTGTCGGCACAAGCACGTAGGCTCGCGCCCCCGTTATTTGAGCCGCCAAGTGGTAAAGCCGCGCTCCGCCCTGAAGTTTTGTCCCATTGAAACTCGTGCAACTTATTCCTAAACCTGATTACTCGGATACCTTATAAATGTGTGGGCGTGGTGCTGGCCACCCACCCCCTCGTGTGCCGTGTTTGGCCTTCATAGGTGCTTGCTAACACTACTTGCCCCAACAGTCTGGTCAGGCTATACAGGGGATCTTTGTCATTGTTGTGTGGGGCAGGGATTGTGAATTAAAGTGGTGCCTTCTGAGCACTGAACATAACATGCTGATTATAATTATCGCATATCAGCTGATAACCATATCACCTTGCATTTACCCAGTCTTGTCGGATCTTTGGTGTGGATGATGCTTGGCTGGGCGACCGAATATGCATAACAGGGTATTTCAGGCTACGGGGGGCTCTGATGTACCCCAAAGTGGCAGTGTTCCAAAAATGCTAGTTGTGCAGTACTTGCTTATTTCCCTGTCTTCACCAACCTGCACAGATCCGTGTGGAGAAGTGTGTGGTCAAGTAAACCTACATCGACCCACACGGCCTCATCCAGCAGTGGATTGACAAAAGGGCTGTGTACAATGTCTGTGGAGTGCTTCCATTCTGGGACAAATTGCCTGTTTTGGAAAGTTCTCCTTAAAGGGCATGTGCCTGTGTCCCAGTGCCAAACTTTCAGAAGCCATGACTCTTCATATCAACAGCCTGTCCAATCCTCCCAATATACCCATCGTCCATTTTAATAAATAGTGGTTTTAACAATTGTTGAAATTAACCCGTTGTGTGTGTGTGCGCGCGCGTGTATCCCCCGGCACTTGCAGGCAAGCCGAGTTACTCGGAGCTGATGGCAAACGGAGTGGCAAGCTTAGCAGACGGACACTACCACACAGTGCACAAGGACTCTGGCCTCTACAAAGACTTATTGCACAAGATGCACTTGGACCGTGTTCTGGAGTCTGGTCCACCCGAGCCACCGGTGTACAAGTCAGTGATTTGTGTAACTTTCCTTTACTTTGCACTTGTGTGTTTATGTATAGTTTGTAACGTTCTTACCCGCCCCTTCTGGGTATCTGTCAAAGCTTCATAGCTCATCAGATTCCTCCCGTATAAATAAATATGATGTTGTCTTATTGCCCACATGCACTTGATTTGCCTTCATCACTGCCTCCTTTGATAGTCTGGCCTCCTACGGACATTTCTTTGGGGGTTACTCAGTCGGGGTATAACAATTCATCTGCTCTGCTTACGATTCGATTAAAGAATCTCTTCTTTTCTCGCCTCTTTCTCTACAGTATATTGTGTCCTGCCTTGTTCCGTCTTTACATTAGCTTCATGGTGTAATATAGGCATAAGTTTGATCAATATTATGTACCGACATGTCATGCACACACCCTTTTGTTTTCTTGCACTATTGGTCCCTCCCAGAAATAACTCTTTCATATTATGTCTTCCAATAGTGATTGTTACTGGCTTTTTGGCATTTTCATGCATTCACCTTTGCCTACATTTCAGAGATGTTAAATTTTAAGCTGGAACTTGGCAAAAATATGGGTTTATTGTTTTGACTACTCTATGAAAGCGATTTTTAGCTGCTAATTTTCTAATCAATGCCCCATGTAATTCTTGAATTTGCAATTAGTTGCAGTATTCACTCTCAAATCGAAAGTGTTTTAAAATGTTTTTTTCTACTCGCCCAGATAATCCACGTAAAGCAGATTAATTCAGTACACTTTCCACTTGTGCATGGTTGGGCGTCTTGCCTGCATTGGCCCGTTGTGTCTTGTCTTTCCATGGGTTGAAAATTATAACTTTTTGACATTTAAGTTCATGGCCTAAACCCAAATTTAGATCTTAAAATTCATTTTTTGCAAGCCTTTAACTCTCAAACAATCCTGTAGCAACTCTTCACTGGATGCATATCCTACATATTAAATAAGATTAAACGTGTCCACGGTTATTCTAACTACATGGGGTGGGAGTGTCTTTGATTTATCAAAGTTATAAATTAAAACATTTTGATCCTGGATTTAGTGGTAAAAATGTCGGTGTTTAGGTCGCAACAAATCGTAAAGTGATCAATACCTTATGCACCGTGTTTATTTTCAGTCCATCTGTATGGTTGCTATAGTTTCAGTGTTATTGATTTTTGTGACTCTGCAGTGTTAAGATAAATTATACAACTCCTGGATTTGCGATAAGTAACGTTGAAAAAAATATATAGACGGTGGTTGAGTGCAAACAATTTGCCTAAACTCTGCATGTAAAATCGGGGTAAAATTATAACTCAACTCTGGGAGGTAACTTATTGTATTCTTTAAAAAATCTTCTTGCCAGATACTTGTGCATGAACCGAATTATACCCTTTCATGCCAAATGAGGATTATTGATGTAGCCGCAGAGACCTGTAGACACTGGTGATGCGTTGGGGTTTGTTTGAGGGTTTTCGCTGCCCACCGTGCCCCCCCTGTTCTTTAGCGCGCGTGTGCATCCAGCTGCAACGAGAGCGCCAGTCCTAAAAATTCCTTCTCTCCGGCAGACCCATCCGGCGCAACAACAGCTACACGTCGTACACGGCCGCCATCTATGGGCTGCCACTGGACGGCTCTAAGCACGCGGAGGTGGGGTCGTCGCGAGGTCACCTGGGCGAGGACGGGGCGCCGTCCAGCCGCAAGGCGTGCGTGCGTTACGACAGCTATTCCAGCTACTGCAACGCTTTGGCCGATGACAGCGTCATCCAGCCCATCCCAGAGAAAGGTCGGTGGTACGCTGGCGGGTCGTCATGTTAAATGGGGCCCTCGAGAGGGGTGGGGGCGGGCAGTTGGGCGAGAGCGAGGCGTGGCGTTTGGTCGCGTTTACAAATTCGTCGTTTCATCTTGGTGCGATCGTGACCTGTGTGTGTGTGTGCTTAAACCCTGCGCACCGTGCTGCTCTTTTATGTTTATCTTTCTGGTTCAGGGTCCCCAGTGTTTTTGTGTTTGGTTTCATGCGTAAGTTTGCGGCCAAGCCTATTTTACAAAGTGAACAGATGCGTTTTGGCCTAATTGTTTATTGCAAGCATGTCCCTTTGTGCCAGTGGTTTGCATAACAGGCTTTTCTTTTTAGTTTCCCTTCCAACAAGCAACCTGATTTTGTTTGCATTTAAAGTGTCATGCACCAGTGCATTTTTTAAAGGAATTCATCTGTTTATATCATCACTTTGTCACTCAAGGTTTTTTACGAAATATTTTGCCATTTTATTACTGAGTACAATTTTCAATCTTGCTTTCCATTCCCCGATGTTTAAACATCTGGTTTGCCAGCCCATCTTAAGGTTGACTGATGCTCTTGATTGTGGAATTCACAAAGCTCTTAATCGGCTCTGTATCCTCATCCTGTTAACTTTTGTGATCCGATGAGATTCCATGTATGCAGGAAGTCTGTAGGCGTGACCCCATACCAGTTCTTGTAGAACTGGGTGGGGGGGGGGGTGCGTTAAGTCCAAGGTGCTCAAACGTGGAAATCTTATTTGCAAGTGGCACTTCAATATGGACTCCTCTGCTCACTCCCCCCACCTTGCAGAGGGCGCAACCGGCAACGGCACTGCGGTCGTCCCTAACAATAGCAATGGGGTAGTCGCCGTGGCAACAAAAACGGGCAGCGGCTCTACATCGTCGACAGTAACAGAGGGATCTCTGGACGGGGAGGACAAGGACCGGCCCGAGGTGTACATGCTCTTCCACTTCCTGCAGATCCTCACCGCCTGCTTCGGCTCATTTGCGCACGGAGGCAATGACGTCAGGTAACGAGGGGGGGGGGGGGGGGGGGGGGGGGGGACGAGCGAGGTGACGTGGTGGCACCCAGTCCTTTTCCTCGTTCTCGGGCATGCTCGGTCTGCTGCTCGCGGTGCAGTTTTTTTATTTATAATTTCTCAAGCCCTCCACTGACTCGCTCTTCTTGCTGGCTTTTTGGACCCCCGGCGGATTGCCATGCCCATCTCGCGGAGTGAACGTTTTAAACCTTGGGTCAAAAAAATACATTTAGTTTTGTAACATTTTGCTGTTAAAAATGCTTAATGTAAATTCAATTTTAAAGTTGGAAAATATTCAATGCCATACTGTTGCTTGTAATATATCGAGCACCAAATTGTCTTTAAAGTAATGCCTCTTTTATTGCTATGGATTCGATTTAATGGGATGAGATTATGCCTTGAGTGGCTCTTGCGGTAAACTAAAATGGATCATTCACGCTCTACTGTATCCAGGAAAAATGTAATTCGTTTTTATTCATGTGGTCAAGTGCACCAGAGTACAGTGCTTCGTCATTTTGAGATTTTATCACTCGCAAGGGGTGTGCTTCTGTGATGTAATTGTTCGCACACCGGATCGATTTTGATCTCCAGGCCTGGCAGTTGAAACAGTGGTGGGGCAGGATTCATAAATCCTCTTGCTGCTTGTCCATCCAGCAATATAAATGGGTGCACCACGGTATCCAGGTTCACGTGAAAGAGCAGCCCAAATACCTTCTAGAAGGGGGCTCTCTTGAGGTCTTCGAATGGGAGGCCCTTAAGCGGTCACAAGAACAAGACCTTCCAGGGATGTAAATGTATTTAATTATTGCGGAACAAATGCTTTTGATCGGTCCACATCGTGCGTAGGTGGACAAGCGTTTACCACCGGATTTTCTTTTCTCCTCTCTCAACCTCAGCAATGCCATTGGTCCCCTGGTCGCCCTGTGGATCATCTACTCAACTGGCAGCGTGAACCAGGAAGCAGCAACACCTGCGTGGCTGCTGCTCTTCGGCGGCGTGGGCATCTGCCTCGGTCTGTGGGTGTGGGGCCGCAGAGTCATCCAGACGATGGGCAAGGACCTGACGCCCATCACTCCCTCGAGGTGAGCACGACCCCTCTGGCTGTCTCTGCGCCAGGGCTGCCCGTCCGGTCGCCCTGACCTCGTGACGGATAACGAGCAGCAGCATTAACAAGAGGGGGAAAAAAATCGAACCAGGTTTCTTTGACAAACTGTTTTTGCCCACGGTTGACAGTTCACCTTTAACCCTACATCCTTGTTAATCCAGAAGCCAGCCCAGTGCACTGGAGTTACTTTTTCGTGGTCACTTATTGTTGCAGCACAGCTTGGGTGTCGTTATGAAGTTAATTTGAAACATTGCAAGACGAGTTTTTTATAATAGACAACTTTGCTTAGCAGCTTGCCCCAGTCGTGCTACAGTGTTGTCAAGTGTTCTGTACCCTTCAAAATGGCCATGGTGGTCTTGTTCAACAATCGATTTTTGTACGGGTGACCTTTGACTCGCATGCCAGTGGTGTCATTTACGTAAATTCTCCCGGGCCCTTCCCTCGCCAGAGGGGCAACTGTGGCAGAGTTCATGACTGTTTGCTTTTGCGCTGGAAGGTTCTATTACTTTTTCAGCACAGGAAACTTCTGTAACGTGTTCATGAGCAATTGGGCTTGTTTCGTGTGGAACGGAGTAGTTGTGTATTTTCAGTTAATCTGTGAAAGGGACAACTAAACTTGTGATACTTAAAAACGGAAACAGAAATGTACTTGGCTTAAGCAATACATTTAGTTCCACTTTTAACCTCCAATAGTTTTCAGGAGCTAAAAGTTGTACACTGCCAGTAAGGTTGCACTTGGATAGTGCTTTTGTTAACGAAGCTGATAATCTCGCAACCAAGTCTAATTTTATGCTGCGGCGGTGTGCACTCTTCTCTCGTTCCAGTGGTTTCAGTATAGAGCTAGCTTCTGCGATGACGGTGGTGATCGCTTCGAACATCGGTCTGCCCATCAGCACGACGCACTGCAAGGTAACGGTGCAGAATAAAAAAAACCCACTTGGGGCCACCTGTAACTTTGGTTGCACGAACCAAAGTTTGCTTTGTGTTTGTCGAGTCGAGCGTTCATGCAGTTGGCAACCACGACAAGGGGTACAGTAGAGAACCCCCTCCTAACGACAGTAAATTGGTTCCACGAAACCGGTCGTTAAGCGGGTATAGGAAATACATGTTTAAAGGCTTAATTCGTTCGGATGGCATCGACAGTTACCCTTTTTCTCCCAAAAAACGTACTTTATGATATTTAATCAATGTATATTAATACAAACTTATTGATTGCATTATAAACACAACAAGTTACAAGAAACGTGGTTAATCAATGCTTGAATTTATATTTACTGTACCTACAACAGCCCGTCATTAACAGGGGGAATGGTCGTGAAGCGATTAGCCGTTAACAGGGGTGGTCATTAGAGGAGGGGTTCTCCGTTACTGTTTAAGTGGTGGATTTAGTCTTGAGCAGGTGTAAATTTTCGTCTTTCCCCCAACCTTACCTCCAGGAGAGCTTGACACTGTTTCCTCTCTCTGGTCATTGTCTTGGGGCACATGAATGGTCCGTGCACTCCATTGCCAAGCAGCCTCGCTTGTGCCAGTGCATGGAGCTACACGCCTGCTTTAAATTTCGCTGCGTTCATGTTCATACACTATCGTCTCGCCGGGCCAAATGCGTCGGTTCTTAAAGGCCGCGCAATTCGTAAATCCTTCCCTGATAGATCGTTGCCGGTTGACTATTGTAGGGATTTGCAGAAGATAACTGCCGTCACATTCGCGGAGCACTATATATTTGGAAGACGTGGGTTCAGCCGGTTATGGTGCCGTTTTTTTAGTGCAGTTTAGATGTTGAACTCTGCTCAAATATGCAACGTTTATTTTCAAATTGCTGTCGCTATATGGTGCCGTTTTTTTCTACCCACATTTCGTAATGCCAGCACCTCCCTTGAGTTAACAGCCCCGTGTGCGGCGGCGTTTGTTCCCCCCCCCCTCCTTTGGGTGCCACAGGTTGGCTCGGTGGTGTCTGTCGGTTGGCTACGCTCACGCAAGGCTGTCGACTGGCGCCTTTTCCGCAACATCTTCATGGCTTGGTTTGTCACAGTTCCCATCTCGGGGCTGTTCAGCGCCGGCGTCATGGCGCTCTTTGTGTATGGAATCCTGCCCTTCGTCTAGCCGGAGCGGCGGCACGGTGCCACTCAACCACCGCCAGTCTACGCCTCGCCAACGCCCTCAATTTGACCGTGAAATCAAATCGCAAAAAAACATAATCGCCATCACCTAGCCGCTAAAGCAACGGTTGTGCGGGTGTGGTCGATTTTTAAAAGTGACGCGCGTGCATTTTAAAGGAACATGTCCTTTTGTTTGGAACAAAGATGACAGAAAAGACGCAGGCATTTCAGTTAAACACTAAAGGATCCATACTAGTGTCGCTTAACATAAAGGAAGCGTGAAACTGCGCTCCGAAAGCACAACGCCTGTACCCCCCTCTGCCTGTCAAACCTGGACCAGTGTAAAACCGTGCGCAGTGTTGTCAAGTTGGCTTGTAAATTACCGGAGTGATCCGCCCTGCCTGTGCACGTGCCCAGCGTCGTTGTGTGCGCAGATAAGTGTCTTTTGCTGTGCAAATTTGTACATCTTTGCAGCCGTGTCGGGCTTTAATGTTCCACGTGATGGCGTCTTAGCAGAGGAAGCACTTAGCCTTGACATAGTTTGCATTTTTAACAACTGCTTGCGTGTCTTGACAGCAACCATCGTGCGTTTTGCCTTTTTAGTTTGGCAAAACCGACAAGTGTTACAAATATTAAGACGAGGAAAAAAGTCACCATTATCGCATGGCAAATATATTTGCAGGTAGGGGGTGGGGTAACGTGACCCGTGTTAGATTGCCATCAAGTCTCACTACGCAACTGCGGCACAGGCTTGGGTTTGTGTTCTTGTTCAAACTTCGCTCCTAAGCCTGTGGGGTTTTTTTTATTTCTCGGTTTGATAACTAAAAATAAGCCTCTTACCCACTTGTAATAGATGTATTTCTCTATAGCTAGCCCCCCCCCACTACCCCTGCCGACCTTGCCCATTCCCTGCATAATCAGTGTTTTGTTTCAAATGAGTCACAAGATCAGTATAACAAAAATAAATTGGATAGGGAGGGAAGTATGTGATTAAGGTTGTAAGGAAAGGGCCCCCTAGGGAAAAAAAATTAATTTGATGTTAGAAAGATGAACAAAGCAACGACTTGTTCTGCTTTGTCTGGCGATGGAAATGCTAGTTCTCGTGCGTTTTAAACATTGTTATCTGGCACTGTTGAGGCTGAAAAAGTTCTGGAGGAATACTAACTCTCCTTGTTTGTGTAAAATGTGAACGTTTTCTGTAATTGATGTCAAACAGTGAAGTGCTTTGGGGTCCCCTCTCCTAGCTCATGATGTACGATGCCACCGAGTGAGTAGCTTCACCACGGTTTGATTGGTACGTGTGTTTTGCATTTTCAGCTTTGTACATTGCAACGTTTTTGCTTTATTGTGTTTGACTTCTGTTGGGTTTATCTTGACAAAGGAGGGGGGTGGTGGGGTGGGGGTTTGCTCTTGGAAAGGATGTGGATGGGTTTTGACCCACGGGTTCCCAAATTTTATTTCATTTTAAGTTTCGTATTCGGCACTTGTCTTTTTTTATTTGTATTTTCGTTCCATCAATCTTGAATTTGCGTGACGGCTTATTTTGAGGTTGACGCACACATGTTGTGAGACACGTGTGTGTGTGTGTGTGCGCGCGCGTTGTGGTTAGCGTTGGAGAGGTTTTGAGGGCTGGCAGAGGTTAAATTTGAGCGCTCTTGTTTTCCAAGCCTTTCATTTCTCACCGGTGCGTTGATGTCAACGCCTTTTTTGTCTTTGCAGGGTAACTTAAGCAGTATTTTGAAACTCCCAGTTTGGCACTTTGAAGGGTCTTCTGTTGCTAAAATGACATCACATTACATTTTCATGCAATGAAATGTGCTTGGATTAACCTGAATCTTTGTTCCCGAGCCCCGGGCATGTATTGTGTGGCTCGAAGGGGGGGGGGGGGGGGGGGGGGGGGGGGGGGGGCGGGGGGGGGGGGCACCATTGTGTAGTCTGGAACCAGTAAATGTTGCCAAACCTCAAATGCGGTGGTTTTTGTTCAGTTTTTTGTATATTTCCTGTGCTAAGCAATTCCACCCAAGTAACGGTCTACCTTTTTTAATTTTTAAACTCTTCCCCAAGCCGACAAACCCACCCTGCTGCAGTCGTGTGCCAGAATGTTAATGCCATTTGGCCAAAGCAAGATACAAGGTCCCCTAGGTGGAATTTATTTGCTGGTATCGCGCAGTGCGTGTGTATGGCTGCCTGTATATACTACAGCCAGCATTGCCTTTTTTAGGTGGTGCATATTTCAATAAATACCTGGTGAATCCTATTTGTGTTCCTGCATTGTGTTATTGCCCTGCTTTCACAGATCGCTTCCACACTTTGATTTCTTAGTTGTAAATTATCTTTGCCGAGGAAAATGTGGCCAAATAGCGTCGGGGGGGAAGGCTCAAACTCAAGATCGAAATGCATTTCTCTTCCCGCACGTCTGGTTGTCTGTGACGAACTGAAGAAGCTCACAGGACGCGGGGCAAAATGTTGAACGTTGTGCCGAACAACACGTAGGTTGAACCCCAGTAAAAGACTTATCAGAGTTTTTTTTATCATCCATGATAACGTTGGTGTTTGTCTTTCCGTTTTTGTACAGTCAATGCTGGTGAGCAGGTGGAAAAGTTATGGTTGCAGTTGTTTAGACCCTTTTAACACACCCACTTATCTCTTCTTTTGTAGTATATGCTTCGGCAGGCTGCAGTTTTATAGGTGGCATTCACGTACAAGACATCCGCCCTTGAACTGGCGTGGTGCAATTACTGCGACAAACTTGTAGGCAACGTTTTGACCCTGCTATTTATTGAGCATTGTGTAACTCTGGGGGACGCCCGATGGTTGGGGACTCGCCCATGCGTGGCAGTCGCTTTGATGCAACTTAAGCTGTGGTGGGCTTCGGCTCCACGTGTTTGTAAGTTGATTATCGCGCAGAAAAGCGGCAGAATTACCACCTCACTCGCGATTGGTGGGGTGTCCGCCTCCGATTAGCGCTTGCTTACGTCCGGTGCGAAAGAAGTTCAACATCTCCACAGCAGATGATTGCTTGCTTACTCCTTTGGTCAATTATTCTGCTGCTTTTCAATTGAAGCAGCCTATTGTCTGGAACCGTGCGCAGCAGACGTCTTGATTCCGAGCAATTGGGTGAGACATCCAGGTTGTAATGGCCCGACGGTGGACCTGCACTTCCTCTTGCCCAGGGATGCAAGAGGCTATATATATAAAGCTCAGGATGAAGATACCAGAAACTACTTGCAGTGGATCGGGGAGCTACACAACCAGCAAGCAGTGGGGTCTGAAGGCGAGCAATCGACTGGGAACTGCCAAAGCTGCAGGCAAAGTGAAATCCTTCCAAGACTCGGTGTAGTTTACGCGTTCCACTATGGCCCTTGAGATAAGGGGGACTTCCTGCGTGGGCGTTGTTGACCAGGGTCAAGACGAGTACGGTTAACGGCAAGTCGAGGGCAGCAGCTGGGTGAGGCCAATCGCAAGGACCAGAAGGCCCCTTGCACCACCGAACTTAAAACTCACATTTTAATTTTACAAGGCAAGGCCCCACTTAGCTAAAGAGCTCTTTTTCTTTTCTTCAGAAGCGATCACCTGGCATATCACAAATGATGGCTCAACGTAGTGGCTTATCAACATGTGGAAATGTACAGCAACCGAATACTCGCAACGCATGTTTATACATGTGGAGGGAAGCACCGAAGGACCCGGAGAAAAATCCATGCGCCCACGGGGAGAGAGACGCGCAAACTCCAAATGTACAGCAGGGGTCAGGGTGGGGATTGAACCCACGACCTCCTGCATACCAGGTGCGGTAGTTAACATTTGGCCACCGTGGCGCTCTAACTTGCTATGGACTGGGATGAAACATTGAACTACCGACCACTGATGGATATTGTGAACTGCGGTGCTGGATGGTGTTGAGTCTGGTGTGTGTCATAGTGAAGCGTGGGGTGCCGTCTGCTGGTTTGTGGAGGTCGCCTCGTGACAATGAGTGGGAGCTGTGTGGTGTCGGGGTTCTGTTTTAGAGTGGTGGCCCCTCGGGCTTCACGCATCGATCTCCAGAACCTCAAAAGGGTAAACCAAAGGGGCTGAGCAAAATCGCGAGTGTCCAAAATTCAAGTGTAGTCCGAGTTATGTTGGTGGAGAGTGGGGACCTTCCCCCCCCCCCCCCCCCCCCCCCCCCAAACATCCTGAAGGTTATTTTAAACACAGCCTTGTACGTACGTTGAACTTATTTCGCACCGCACGTAGCGCAACCGTGCTAATCGGAGGAGGCCAGTAAGCTGAAGTTTGTCGACAATTTTATGTAACAGGATGGTTACACAATGTTTTAAGATATTCGTTGGCGGATGAGCTGGGATAACACAGTGTGTGTGTATACCTAATATAGTGGGGAGCGGTAGTGTAGCGGTTAGCGCGCTGCGCTTCGAATGTGGAGATTCGGGTTCGATTCCTGCTCACGGCCAGTGACGATTATTTGGACTCGGCCCTGGGCATCCCCTAGGTCGACTCAGCCTCAAATGAGTACCTGGTGTGGTGTGGAAACATCGCCACTGGGGAGACAAAGGCGGCTGGGCGTGGTGTTACCCCCTCGTGTACCGCGACGGCCTTGATAGGTGCTTGCAAACAACACTTGCCCCAACAGTCTGTCCAGGCTATACGGGGGATCTTTGTCTATATATACCTAATATAGGCCAGTCTTTGAAGGTGGAAAGGGATTTAGAACAATGAAATGGAGGCAGATAAGGGCAGCAGATCGGAGCTATTTTGGAAAAGTGAACCGAATGAAAATCGGTATACAAATGTTCCTCAGAGTTTGCGCGTTCCCTGCCGTGACATGAATCCGAAGCGTGAACATTGGCAAACAAAATGGAACAAATGACCCCTCCACAAGAAGCAGCCGCCTTCGCTCACGAGTTTCTCACCCACAACCCCCCCCCCCTCCACCTTTTAATCTCCCCCTCTTCATATTCTCATGTGGCTATCACTCATTAACCCCCATTCGTTCAATCCATTCATCTTCATATACTGTCAGAATAATAATATGATTTTTCTCATTATATGGCTTTAACTCATTCTCCGTTCATTCAATCCCCTCATCATCATTATTGTGATAATATTTATCATTATATGGCTTTCACTCATTCTTCATTCAATCAATTCATCATCATTACTGTTATAATAATTCTCATGATATGGCTTTCACTCATTCCCCATTCATTCAATCCATTCATAATTATTGTCATACTAATTCTCATTTTTGGCTTTCACTCATTCCCCATTCATTCAATCCATTCATCATCATTACTGTGATAATTATTCTTATATGGCTTTCACTCATTCCCCATTCATTCAATCCATTCATCGTCATTACTTTTTCACCCAATTCACGCATCACAAATTTACGCCCCATCGCATCCTTCCTGATCTATTTCATTCACCTCATCCCCACCATTATATTCATACAAGTACCATCGTAAAGTCTGTGTAAATCGCCTTATATAAGAAAGATGCTGTATAATTTATTTTTTTAAGATAAGATAAGCTGACAAGTTGGAAAAGTGTGCAAAGTAGCCTGGAGAGAGGTGCATGCTTAGCGTTAAACTGAGAAAGAACAACGCAGTGATGGGAACATCGGTACAAATAAGACTAACCACAAAAACACGATTGATTTAACACACGTGAGGTGGGCTTTGGCGCGACACGCGTCGCGAGTTGGGGTGATGATGATGATGGCTGCTGGTCGAGGCTAGACGAGGCAACCGAAGCAGATGATGACGTCTGCTGCAGAAATCGAGCAATGGAAATGTATTCTCATACGGGAGTATTACTGCATCGGAGGCTCGTGAGCGATATGTCGATGGTTTGTAACGAGAAGAGGTCTTCCTCTAGCAGGTGGATTACGAGCTGTTGCTGATGATGATGATGGTAATAAGTTTTGGTCAGCGGTTTGAACGAATGACCCATTTGCATCGTCCCATTCAGATACACGCTGTGACACCATCGTACACCACGCAGAATGGACAGCACCTCGGGGGCCCTGGTCAGTGGGGGCTTAAGGAAATGACCGGGACACTTTGTGACCACATCCGCCCCCTCCCCCACCACTCTTGTGGCTTCAAGTT